AAACAGTAACAGAACCCACAACTTTTTGTGTTCCACACAATATAGAAAACATCAACTCAAAATGAATCACAGACATACTTAAAAGGTCAAGGCTGCAGTGAGCCATGATTGTGCCACTGCACTCCAACCTGAGAAAGGAGGATCACTCAGCAATAAAAGGAAATGAACTACTGATAGATGCAAAATAATGGATAATTACAAAAGCATCCTGCTAAGCAAACGGCAAACTCAAAGGGCAACATACATATGATTCCATTTATATGACATTATGAGAAAAATAAAACTATAGGAACAAATCAGTGATTGCCAAGGGCTTGGTATAGGGGAAAGGAGCAAAAGAGAACTTACTTGATAAGATGGAAATACTTTATGTCTCAAGTACACTGATGGTTACAACAACTGCATAACCTGTCAAAACTCATCATGATGTATGCCTAGAGAAGGTGAATTTAACTTGGGTAAACATGATGTAAATTTCTTAATGGGAAAAATATAGCAAGTAACAGCAAGAGAGGGGATATTTTTTGTTTTTGCAATTTTACTTTAAAAACATTGGAAATACAACATATTTCTCTTAGTGTTTTTACAAGTTGTGCTCTTGTGCGTTAAAAAAGATAGTGTCTCATGATACTATCTAAAAATGTATTTCTTTTCGAAAGATAAGGGAATAGACAACCCAGTCATTGTGGCTTGAGTCTGTAATCCCAGCTACTTGGGAGGCTGAGGGAGCAAGATTGCCTTGATCCCAGGAGTTCGATACCAGTCTGGAGCAATATAGCAAGACTCCACTTCTAATTTTAAAAATAATGAAGAAGAAAGGTAAAGCAATAGACAAATCAAAATGTTTTACATTTTCCTATTTTATATATACCACGTCTCTGCATATCTCTTTGCAAAGTATCGATTATATTTCCTAAGTAGCCATATAGTTACAGAAACCAGGTTTTCATTTAAGCATTAGTGTATTATTTATAACAGTGGAATTAACCTCTGTATTAATTATTCAGGTCAATGAAAGAGATATTAAAACCCCATTACTTGGAGCATTTCCCTGCCATTTTAATTCCAAGAGATGAGGCTTACGTTTTTCTATGTTTCTCAAGTACCTCTGGTGATTTTTATCAGTCAAGTTTAAAAACTGGTAGTAAACAGACTCAAGTAATCCAGGAAACAGTAAAGCATACGATAGTTTCCAATACTAACAAATCAGGTTAACAATGGTAAGACAAAAAGTTTGGTAATGCTGGCCATTTATAGGGCATAGCATTTCTGGGAAGGACACTAAAAAAATGAAAACAATGTAATTGATACAAGGCATTAAGTACTGAGAATATAGCAGTGAACAAAATAAAGTCCCTGCCCTAATGGAACTTATCTTCTAGTGGGGAAGCAGTCAATGGCAAATGAACCAAATATATAAGCAGTGGTAATGCTAGAAGATGCAAGATAAGGGATTTTTTAAAACGATGGGGCAGGGTACTAATTTCAAGACTTGAAATGACATTTGAGCTGAAAGAAACCTGAATTGAGGAAACAAGTTTTGTACAAATCACAAATAAGCATTTTTAATAGATGGACAACAATGCAAAGATCAAGAAGTATTTTCTTTGTATTGAGAGGAGTGACTGAAGTGAAGCAAAAAGAACAGAAATAGGTAAGTAGAAAGTGCCTTAGGCAGAAAGCCGTGAATGCATTTATCAAAGACCCTAGTTTTTAAAACTTTCTCTCTTTTTTTGAGGCAGTCTCACTCTGTCGCCCACGCTGTAGGGGCGTGATCTTGGCTCACTGCAACTTCTGCCTTCTGGGTTCAAGCAATTCTCCTGCCTCAGCCTCCCGAGTAGTGGGGATTACAGGCGCATACCACCATGTCCAGCTGATTTTTGTGTTTTTAGTAGAGATAGGGTCTCACCGGGTTAACCAGGCTGGTTTCAGACTCCTGATCTCAAGTGATCTGCCTGCCTCGGCCTCCCGAAGTGCTGGAATTACAGGAGTGAGCCACTGCACCCAGCCTCGTAGTTTTTAACTTTTAACGTCATTAGTGTAAAAGGGTTGAGTTTGGTTTTACATAGTTTAAAATTACATATGGTTAGCTGTCTAAGTGGAGATGACTTCAGGGTAGTGGTTGAAGCTAAAGATAGTCAGCACTAGAAACAGGAAAAAAAAAATAGTACAGCTGTTGAGAAATAAATCAGAAATTAAGTCTTACGATAACAATGACATTGGATTCCAGAAAGTAAAAAGAAGTGGGTAAGAGGCAACAGCTGATCAAAAAAGAAATTAAAATAATAATAATAATAAAACCACCACAGGACTTAATATAGTCAGCCTGCAGAACACTAGAGACAAAGCAAAGATTTGAAAAGTAAACAGAAGAAATAAAAAAAGTAACAAGTAAAGTAGTGGCAGTTCCATAGCTCATTCTAAATTTGAAATCTAATGAATAGTAGTCTACAATCATGAAATGACAATACATCATTTTTCAGTCACATAAAGTTTTTCTATCACCAACGCAAACAATATCATTAGCTCCTTTAACAGAATCGTTAGGAGTTTTAGACTGTTCATACCTCTTTAGTTTCATCTTTAGATCAGGACTCAAATGTGGAGTAGAACATGGAATTAAAATTATTTCATTCATTTGAATGAATTGAGTTTCTACTACAAATTTTGTTTCAAATATAGGTGTAATTTTTTTTACACCTTAAAAAAATTGTTTTTAAAAACAATTTTATGAAAAAAAAATTTTCCATAGTCTGAACATTAATTTCTAACATACTCTAAAAAAATTTTTTTTTTTTTTAGCTAAAGGACAGAGTGGTTAGTGGCCTTTTAGTGTAGAAAATCCAGTGCATGAAGCCCCATTAGAGAATTTGTATAGGTACTTGTAACAATCTTTTAACGTTTTTTATTAATCCTACTTTCTCCAGTAATCTCATCTTTCATCCTTTTACACCATAGCTAAGATTTCCTATTCCAAGATCTTCCTATCAGAATTCAAGGAATTTCTGTAATGGAGTCAACCTATTAGGTCCTAATTTTTTTTGAGCTAAGAAAATTAGCATGAAGTGTTCCACAAAATCAATTACTATTGTCAGAAAATATAATCTCAAATTTTCTTCAAAATATCTATAATTGAATGTCTTAGAAATTTTAACACATTTTGACACTATCTCAAAATATTTGTTGTTGCATTACTATCTGTGTCCTCTATAACATCCTCCATTCATTACAATTATTGTACAGTGCTAAAATCTAAGTTTCGTTTGCATTTTGAGTAATGTGTATTTAATAGAGGCATCTATATTAATGTGCTTTTACATATTAACTCAGAAATATTTTAAAACATTTTTGCAGTTTCCTATGAAGCTGAAAGTCTTTTTAAAAAAATCCTGTATTTAAATATTAGTTGCTCTTCCAAATCCCTATCCCTTTTTAAAGCTGTTGTATTTATAAAGCTATGACAGCTAATTTGGGGTGCAAAGATCATTTTCTAGTTAGAGATAGTAGTGGGGTAGAAATACAAATCATGCCATTTACCCCTAGAGCATATTCTTGATAAACTTCATGAAAATGAATAACCTACTCAACCTTTTCATATTAATTACAAAAAGAGAAATTATATATACAATCTACATTACATAAAATTAAAAAGGTTCTTATTAAGCTACTCACTCTGAAAATAAATTATTCAAACTCATTTTCCATAAGTCTGAACATTAATTTCTAACATACTCTAAACAAAGAATATCTTTATAAGCAAACAGGCTATTGCTTTTAGTAAGAATCATTTATTGTGTAAGAGTGGAAGGTTAATTGGTACAGTACTATGCATAATCTCTCACCCTTGAAAAATTAAACATAACTGGATAAAAATAACAAAGCAGAATGAGCATGTGAAAGACAAAAAATAAGCAAATTTTATAGAGAATGTTCTGCTATATTTATGTACTGTTCTTCTCCATTGTCTTCTACTTGCTGATTTCTTACAAAAAATGAACATATTTTGTCATTTGATAAATGTACATACAGTTCTATATTTTTCATTCAACTCAGCTGACTGAAACTTTCAACTAAATGTAGCATTATTTTAAAAATTAGAGCCTATTCCCTTGTCTCAGAAAATGCAACATTGTTCTGTGAAATTTGCACAATAGAATATTATGCAAGTATCTCAACTACAAAGCAATAAATTAAAAAATGCCAGCTATCATCTTATGACTTAAGCATCATGAATTAGTCAAATGCTAGCTTGTGGAATAAAATAATCATACTAAATGTAGAGAAAAGTGATAGAAGTTTCAAAAATGTGTGCCAGGACTACGTTCATTACTTTTATATTTAAATATAAATTAGATGTTTAAAAAACTGAGCTATTTCCTCCCATGTTATCTCATATACCAGAAAAGAAATAAACCATCATTATTCTTCAGGGTAACTGTATTAGAAAGAGAAATTACTGCAAAACAAAACAAAAAGCAGAAAAACCCACAAGCTTTTATACACATAGACCTAATTGGACAAAGGAAAATTTAAAAAAAATAAATCTATGGACAGGTATCTGTAGGTTGCTCCCACAGCCAACTAACAGTGACACACAGAGGAATATTATAGAAATTATGTCCACATACTTACGTTTGTCAAAGTTAAGATTCAAATTTGTTACATCAAAGCATACATGCTAGAATGTGTCACATGACTTTAAAAAATCCCACTGAATATAAAACAACATAAAAATCTATGAATAAATATAAAGCATCCCATAATAATATCTGCAGGAAGCCAAAAGGGGCCAACAAAAATGTCTATGGCCTAAGTTTTACTTCATAGGAATATTCATATATTCTCCAAAAGATTTAGTTCTAATGCTACACATTACAAATATTCAACTGCTTACCAAAATACGTTTTCTGGCGGCAAAACGTTACTTAAAAAGGGAGTGCGGGGGGTGTTAAGTGCTTGAGGGAGTAAGAATGCAGCAGAAAATTACAGGAGCCCACATATCCTTTTTCTTAAATTTAATTTGTCATATATAAGGTTTTTATATACAATCAGTGTGCATTGTAACAGTTTATATTAAAAGTCAATCAAGTTTATCTAAAATGTTAACCTGGCTGCATAGCACATTTGACATTATTGCCCACATGAAACGGGAAAACAAACAGATTTACAATAACTTTTGGCCGTTTTGGATTCTGAAAAGTGTTTATACACCTACCCTTTTAAACCAGATGCATCTGAAAAAAATGTTTCCAGAGCATGCAGTTTAAGATTTTACATATCATCTCGCCATTTTAAAACTACAAACACAATATTGACTAAAAAAGGAAAAAAAAAGGGGGAAGAAATAACATGTATCTAATAAAATATTCAGTATAAAAAGAGGACTAATGGAATTAAAGTGGCCCCTTTCCCCATTTTTACATTCTAAACAATGATTCCATCAAGACAAATCATTAAAAAGTGTTATTACACTGATTTTTTTTTTTTTAAGAAGGCCTGAGTTGGTAGGGAAAGGAACAGTCAAAAAAAGCCTGAGAAAGGGAAGGAAGTAAGGAAAGTTCCTTTAATATTTACAGTAATTTACAGCCATTTCTTTTTTGTAAAAAGGCATAATAATAGATCACAAACAGGAAATTCCTGACTATTTTACAGATATAAGTACAGAATTTAAATATTCAAGCTTGTGATGAAAAGCGGCAAGGTGGTCGCAGTGTACAATGTAAACAAGTAGCTTTGGAAATGAACAAAGTCCTTGAGTGTTTTTCTTTATTAAGAAAGAACTCTCTTTCATTCCTTCCTGAAACATGATCACAGGTCAGAGTAAAGTTCATATATAAACATAATTTAAATGGAGGTCAGTCTAAAATCACTGACTTAAAAACAGTTTTATCCAGCCTGTATGGGAGGGCAGTGTTGAGGTCCCTGTAATAGTAAACATTTTCCATTTCTTTAAAAAAGAAACAAACAAACAAAAAGTACTACAACATTTGTAGTACAGTGCAGCATAATCCTTAAATATAAAAATATTTTCTCTTCTGTTGGGATAATAGACCTTGCATCCTGGAAAGAAGTAACAATACTGCTACTGATAGAAGATCTGTTTATATCTTTCAAGTCATGTAAGGCAATTACTGTGTTGGTTTATGATATATGGCTAAAAGTCCAGAAAGACGAAATAGCAGTTTTTGTTATGTTTTCCGACTACTCCAGGTATGCTCCGGTGTACTTTTGTGTTCAATTGAATGTTCAAATGGAGATCTGGAGCCATAAGGAGATCTCTGATCTAGTGGTGACCTAGGGCCACTGCTGGAAGCTCTGTGGTCCATTTGCCAATCTGAGTGATACCTATAATCCCTGGAAGATTTATGGTGCGTATATTCAGAACTTGATCGGTGGTCTGAATGTAACCGATGATCTGAATGAGAACGATGATCAGAATGAGATCTATCTTTTAAATTTCCTTCCAAATTTGACCTGTGATCTCTACTCCTGTGATCATCCAGTTTTCTGTGTTTCTCTCTGTCACTGTAATATCTAATAAAGAAAAATTGAGAATTTTAGATAAATAATGCAAATTAAAATGTTTCCAAATAAAAGATTACTAAAAAACATAAAAATACCTTAAAACATGTTTTTAACTGTATACAAGCTCAGTGTTTCATTACAAAACTTACTAAATTAACTCAAAAATCACTGGAAATATCTCTTTGGAAGAACTATTTGATTCATAAAACTAAAGTGAACCATACAAAGTCCTTAAAATAGCATCTAATCTCACATGGCTATTTTAGATAATTAGCTGCTTTTTATTTTACAAATCATTTATATGACTGCATCTTAATTGTCTGAAAGTTGAAATTAAGACTATTACAACTATCTGAAACACTCCTGAGACCAGAGACTTTTATCAACCACTAAGCAGGAAAAAGTCTAAAAATGCTAGAATGCAGTCTACAAAATAATCTGAAAAAATTTTTCATTGGTTGCTGATGCCTATTACAAGCTTCCTCAAGTTTGACTAGTTAGTAAGACGTGACACATGAATCATTAAGAAATTTACTCCACAAACATGTGACAGCTTGACAAAAAATAAATGTGGCAGTTTAATGAGAAGTATTCTCTAAAATGACTGCCTATTCCAAAGTGACACACACTGAAGATAATGTGTTCCTTTTTTGTTGACCTTACTACAAACAACTATATTGTATAAGCCTGTGAAATATATATTACAAATCTGCCTTTTTAATTATTTGACGCTTTCTAATAAGAGACATTTACAACTGATGTGTTCATAGTGTTGACAGAAGTTCTCAAAGAAATTATTGTAGTGAACACAACTAAAATACAAAGAATGTCTTCTAATTTGCTGCTTCTACTTACTATAAAAGCATAAATACCATAAATCTGTTTTCAAGTTTACTTTTAGTAATGATCATTAACTACTGACAGTACTTCTTTATCAATAAAGGAATAAAAAGTATTCTATGTTATTACACTGAGGTTGCTTACTGTTCAAAGGCTTCAAAAAACAACAATAAACAAAAACCCTCCTGGTTCCAAGAATATTCCAGATTGCTGAGATGAAGTTTAACCTCAACGAGATGTGTTTGCATATATTAATTTTTCCCCTCATTACTTTTTAAAAATATGGAATACAAAATTTCCTAAGCCAAACCTGAACCACTATTACATCAAGTTTTTATTTCATCCCATTTATTATATTTTAAAGAGTATTTGAGCCAATATTCTCCAAAACCAACAATGAATCCCACACAATTTATAATTATGCAACTCCCTACATTAACTTTCTTACTACATATTTTGATCTCAATTTTATGATTCAAAAGCCATTTTATAGAGAAATTCAGTTCTTAAAATATATAAATTTTTCTTAATTATATACAACACCTTTATTTCACAATATTTGTTTTGACTGCATGAAGATTGAATTAGTTGATAGGTTAAATACAGGAACATCATGATAAGGAGAAAGACATGCATAAGCAAAATTTCTAAAGTGACTGCCAAGTTTACCTGCTGTCTTGCTTGTAGTGATCCCAATCACGATGGTCTTTACCATTACTAAAAGAAGAATAGGGTCTTTTCCTGGATTCACTTTTTTTGTAAGAATCTCCCTGATGTCGGTCTTTATGATGATCATGGTACTGAGTTAAGTGTCTATCAGAGGAATAACTGTCCCTGCTGCTATCATCGTGATTTGTATTCTCTTTTAATCTTTCCACATCTGTTAGATAAGTACAACTTTTATTAATGACCTTAAAAATAGTATGTGGCAAAAAAAACTTAAGTTGATAGATAACAAGAACTCGTTTCAACCCTTGCCAAAACAAAATTGGTTCCCAAATACAAGCAGTTGAAGCATTTATAAATGGTGTATAAAAGCAGTACTAAGGATTATTTTAAAAGGGTCACTTGATTCTGAAATGTGACAAAAACTAAAACATATGGGACCCATTCCTTTCTCAGACTATACTTTTGTGGCTGTCATACAGAAAGAATGCATTACTATTCCAAATTACATAAAAAAGAATATTTGTTCATTTTAACAGTTATTCTACAATTTCTAGAAACTGGGAAAAAGATGATTAAAAGGATAATCAACTAAAAAGAACGATAGCTTAAGAGAATACATTTTATATAATAATGTAGGTATGTATCAGAATTACCATATCTTCTTAATATAAAGGTACTTGTAAATAAAAACAAGGTAACAACTTTTTTAACATTTAGTTTATTTAAAACAAATATTTTAAAAAAAAATTTTTTTAATTTATTTTCCCAATCAGTAAGGCTTACATACCTGGATTTCTAATCACATGAGGATTCAAGTTGCTGTTTTGATCATTGTTTTGCTAAAATAAATGCACACATGTGTAAGAATCTTTAGGTGACTTCACAAACTTACAAAAAAGGATAATTCTTAGAAAATACTGATACTGAAGTCTTCAAACAAGGTATTAGAATGTTTATGTGTGTACATATATGTATATATGTGTGTATATATACATGTATGACATTTATAGATCTCCATTTTTAAAGTATGAACTACTTGTCCCATGACTTAAAGATATTTTTTCACTTTGAAATAAACTGACTTAACAGAAAAGTTGCAAAAATACTGAGTTCTCACATACCCTTCACCTAGCTTCTCCTAATGTTAATATCTTATATAAACATAGTATAAAGATCAAAACCAAATAATTAACATTGGTATAACACTATTAACTGAAGAACAGACTTCATTCAGATTTCACGTTTTTCCACTCATGTTCTTTATCTGCTCAGGGATTCGATTTGGAAGCCCATATTACACTAAGTTGTCATGTCCTCCTCTGGGGCAGCTCCTTAGTCTACTGCATGCTGTTAATACTTCTGGAGAGTAGCAGTTATTTTATAGAATATCCCTCAAGAAGGGCTTGTCTGATATTTTCACATAACACTTATATATTTTTGGCAAGAATTCCAGATAAGTGATGTGCCTTTCTCAGTATCAGAGGGTTCGTGATGCTGATGTGTCTTACCACTGATGACATTAACCTTGATCACTTGTTTAAGGTGGGTCAGGTAAGTTTCTCTATTATAAAGTTATTATTTTCCCTTTATAATTAATAAACATTTCAGAGATCTGTCAATATCCAATTTTCTTGCCCATTAACTTTACCTCCCTTCTGTGAATCTTGCCTGAGATTATTACAGAATTATTACTGTGGTGTTCAATGGTGATTTTTAAAATTTATCTTATTCATTCTGTATTTATTAATCAAATTGCTTTGTAAAAAGAATGTCTCATGGTTTTAATTATATAAATTAAGGGAAAAAAATATGATGGCAAGTTTACCTGAGATTCCTGCCGTTTTTTAATAGCATGCTTATATAATTTATGTAATTTTCTTGCATCAAATTCAGTAAACTTAGATACAAAAATCCATAGGTTTCTAGAAGAATTAAAAAAAAGGCAAATTACATTAGTCTGGTGGAAAATATTTAGTTTTTTTCATGGAACTCCTTCCCTCCAAACAGAAACACATACACACATACACAGCCCTCTATGGAACAAACTCTTACGGATATTAATTATATGTATTTTTTCAAAACTTCATAAGACTCCAGTGAAACTAAACATTATATTTTACTTCTCTTCCAGATCACTTCATTTTATAGTCTTTAGACTGAAAAGCAGTAAACAATCCTAATTTGAAATGCACCAAAGATATAAATTAAATCAGGAAGTGATTCAGATTCATACTGTGATCCTGATTATGCATATAACGGACAGGTATGTTAATAATTGGGAGTGGAAATACCATCAGGTAATACGGATTATGCTTGTAAAGAATTGTCTTAAATAATGCATTAAAAAGTAACTGTCACTTAATAATAGTAATGTAATGGTCCCAAGAGTTAACACGATCAAACACCATAAATGAGGTACAGCTTGGTATCTCTTGCCATTCCAACAGAGGCATCCGTAATTAATCAGAAACTGTGGTGATTATTTCATAATGCATGTATATATCAAATCATCAAACTGTATACCTTAAATATATAAGAACTGTAAATTGTTAAATATACCTCCAAAAAGAAAAGGAATGTTAAGTTCTAAGGGAGGGTAGTAGTCCCTAGAAGATTCAAATGTACACTAGAGGTAAAATATTTACCTTGAAATATATTTTTAAAATGAACTTAAGAGAATATATTGAATGGTACCTTACTGAACTGAAATCCACAGAAGGGGGAAAATTCATCTAGCCTTTACATAAATTCACAGACTATCTCGAACATATCTACATTCTAAGGTTAACTCATAAGGGTAAAAGGTGGGAATTTAATAAAGTACCTTTTTGTTCCTAAGTAAATTCCTTGTAAAAACATATTTTCCGGCCGGGCGCGGTGGCTCACGCCTGTAATCCCAACACTTTGGGAGGCCGAGGCGGGCGGATCACGGGGTCAGGAGATCGAGGCCAACCTGGCGAACACTGTGAAACCCCGTCTCTACTAAAAATACAAAAAAATTAGCCGGGCGTGGTGGCGGGCACCTGTGGTCCCAGCTACTCGGGAGGCTGAGGCAGGAGAATGGCATGAACCTGGGAGGCACAGCTTGCAGTGAGCGGAGATCGCACCACTGCACTCCAGCCTGAGCAACAGAGCGAGACTCCGTCTCAAAAAAAATAAAAATAAAAATAAAAATTAAAAAATTAAAAAATATATATATACACACACACACATACATATACATATTTTCTCCCAAAAAATCTAGTCAGGAACCAGATTCTGGTCTTAATTATATCATCCAAATCACTATCTGATCTTGAACAAAGCACCAGAGCTGAGGCAAGCATCAGCACTTACACAAACCTAAGAATTAGTGCCTCTTTTAGAGTTCAGGTCCTAGTGTTTCCTCTGTCATTCTCCAGTTCCAGCCCTAAAATGCTTTTCAACTGAATCCATTTTTTTCCTTCTGTAAAATGGAATAGTAAATATCTGTTCATAGTTCCTACAAGTAATACTATTAAAAGGATCAGCTAGAATGAGGCATATTTGATAGACAAATAAAATACAAATATACATTCTATTTTGGCCATCACTTTATTACAGTGATCTTTAAATAAAAACTAGTGTTGCATTTCAGTTGTTTTTAAGAAATTTGGTCAAAAAATATATTGAAAAAAATTGTAAGCAAAAAACAAAAAGATCATTATGGTAACTACTGTAACACTTGCTTAATGCCAACCGTTCTGTAATCTTTAGATTTCTATCTTCTTTCATTCTGTACAATTCCCCAGATGGGGAAGGAAAGATGGAAATATCTCATAAAGCAAAACAGCTGCAACTTCTGCCTCCTTGGTTCAAGTGATTCTCTTGCCTCAGCCTCCCGAGTAGCTGGGTCTACAGGCACGTGCCACCATGCCCGGCTTTTTTTTTTTTTTTTTTTTTTTTGTATTTTTAGTAGAAAGGGGGTTTCACCGTCTTAGTCAGGATGGTCTCGATCTCCTGACCTCGTGATCTGCCCGCCTTGGCCTCCCAAAGTGCTGGGATTACAGGCATGAGCCACCGCGCCTGGGCCACAATGACTGTTGTTGAGGGGATGGGGTCAGCCAATAATAGGTCTCAATATAAGGTACTTTTTTTTTCTTGTTTCTGTATTAAAAAAAAATTCCCCCCAGCACTTTGGGAGGCCAAGGCAGGCAGACCGCTTGAGGTCAGGAGTTCAACACAAGGCTGGCCAACATGGTGAAACCCGTCTCTACAAAAAATACAAGAATTAGCCAGGCCTGGTAGCCTGGGCCTGTAATCCCACACTACCAGGGAGACTGAGGTGGAAGGATAGCTTGAGCCCAGGAGGCAGAGGATGCAGTGAGCCGATATCCGCCACTGCACTCCAACCTGGGCAACAGAGCGAGATTCCATCTCAAAAAAAATGAATAAATAAAAATACAATTTCTCCAAGAGAGCAAAAGCTATTTTGCTTCATGGGATATTTCCCTCTTTCCTTCCCCATCTCCCTCTTAAGGGAATTTGGTTTAACCAGAGACAGAGGCTGCAGGAATGAACAATAAGGCATACGAAATCAAAGTAACTGAGAACCAAACGGGAAAACCAAAAAGGTAATCTGCCCAACTGAATGAAGAAAAGTGAGGTGAGAGCATAGCCTTAGGATGTAAAGTGACAGAATACAATGAAAAAGTTAAGTCTCCTGGCTATTGGGTCTCTCTTCTTCCAAAGGTTTCCCCACTCTCTCCTAATAACAAACCGAATTTGAAATGGTACCTATTTGTATTAGTCGCTGTGTAATTTTTATATTTTACTTAAAATTTTATTTCAAATTCTTTAATTCTTTGCTCATTTTTAAATTTACTTTCAACCAAATTCACTGTGTAATTTCAATAAGATGTTCCTTATTTCTCATCTAGAACGCAGAAAAAGTAGATATTCTAACTCTTTGAACCTCAAAAATCTAAGCCCTAATTACAAGGATTCAAATATTGGTGTGTAAGATACAACTAAGTATTTTCATTCAGTGGTCCTCCAAAAATGATAACCCATTCTTGGCAAAAGGTATTATTTAAATGAGGAGTTGCCAGGCTTTCAAATTTTGTATATCTGGTTAAATGTAAAAGATAGAAGCCAAGCATTTTTACACTAAAAAAAGTAGAGAAGAAATTAAATGTAATCCTTTAGATTAGCTAAATTTAGCTTTAAGAATAATGCACTACATTACTTTTATTTTCCTAATTTTTGCATTTTACATTGCTTGAGGATGTTAATTTTTACAACTTCATACATGTATCCAGGATGTAAACTGCTAAATTCATGCAACAATAAACTTTGTGGGAACATCAACTTCAAAAGATATTACGGATAATAATTTGGTAAATTGCAAAGACTTTTTCAAATAAAATGCAATCTGAATTTTAATGAAACAGCTGTCACTATTTCTTTAAAGGCAGAGATGCCACTTGTTACATACCATGAAACCTAAGTAACCACTCATAAATAAAAAACTTTAACGTTAAAGGGAGAAAAATTAAAACAATCATCTGCAGGTTACCTCTTTAAAAATTATCTTGTTCCCTAAACTTCAGAATCAGGAAAGAAAACAGAAAAACAAAAGACAGTTACATAATACAAATTTAACACTTCCTGAAAAGTGTATCACTTACTTTCTCCATTGCTTAATTTGTTCAGGATTTGTATACTCTTTTAGACATTCTGTGATATGGTCTCCAATTTTTATTAAACATTGTCTAGTATGTTCTAGTTGTTCTCTTTCTGAAAGGCCTTTCTCAGGCCTATCAAGTTGTTTCAAAGCTGCTTTAACAGGCCTCATTCTTTCTTTACACTTTAAAATGAGAAAACAAGAATATAAACACATGTATTAAAAACCTAAAGTCAACAAGATCTACCTCCTTCAATGATATTTACATGAATATTATAACACTGTTTGATAGCAAAATAAGCAATTAAATCTCACTTCACAAATCTTATACATCAGGGTTCTTTCCTCTTTAGATTTTTTTCAGGAAAGTAAGCCTTTCTGTTATCATTTAAAATTAGTATTTGAGTAAGTAAAAGTTTTGGATTTTACTTAGCTTCTACATAAATGGTTATTTTTTATACTGTAGCACACTATTATAAGGAGTCTTAAATATAGAATATTAAAAGAGAGAGAGTAAAAATATTTCAGAGTATAACTTAATATACCCTACTATCCACTAAATACAGGGTAAAATGATTTTAGCAAAACTATTAAAATCAATATAGCTAGATACATAAACTGTCTATTCTTCCAAACTTTTGCAACAACAGAAGGTGGCAATAATGACTTGCTCTTCATATTTTGGGTGGCTGGGGAATACAGGGTAAAAGGGTAACTTTTTCCTTGGCCTGTACATTCCTGACATGCTTATAAAAGGCTGACATATTAAGAACTGCATGTTTTATTGTAGCAATAGGAACTACAACCTTCTACCAAAATCAAAATAAAAATATTACTAACAAGGGAACCTTCAGATAAAATTTGTAAATGCAAAAACAAATTAAAAATTAACATTATATTCACAGAAAGCAAGCTGGTTTAGTTCTAGGAATATAAGGATGATGGGTCAACATCAGACAATACATTTAGATAATCCAACATCATTTATTAAGAAATCGGGCCAGGTGTGGTGGCTCATGCCTGTAACCCCAGCACTTTGGGAGGCTGAAGCGGGAGGATCACTTGAGTCCAGGAGTTTGAGATCAGTCTGGGCAACAGTGAGACTCTGATTCTATACCAAAAAAAAAAAAAAAAAAAAAAAATTAGCCAAGCATGGTGGCACACACATGTGGTCCCAGCTACTCAAGAGGTCAAGGTGGGAGGACTGCTTGAACCCAGGAGACTGCAATGAGCTGTGATCATGCCACTGGCACTATAGCCTGGGCAAGAGTGAGACTGTATCTCAAAAAAATAAAATAGTAAATCCTCACACCACTGCTCTGAAGGACCTCTCTTATTAAAAAGAAAATTAAAATTCAGTCAGATCTGATGCTTTAAGAAAATCTTTAATTTCCTTTCTAACTTTTAGTTTATTCATTGCTGTTCTTTATGTTTCCTATCTTTTGTTCAACTTTGGCAGTTTATATTCTGTTAGAAAATAATTTATCCAACATATGTCAGTTTAGTACATACTATGTTCTAGATACTGTTCCAGACCCAGGAAATAGAGCTGTACGTAAAACAGATCCTGCCTTTATGGAACCTGGAATCTAGTATAACACTAGAGAGCCAATAAATAAAGAAGAAATAGTGTGTCAGGTGACAACAACTGTGATAAAGAAAAATAAAGCAATAAAGAGCAGGGAGCTTCCTATCTTATACAAGATTTCAGAGAAGGGCAATGTTTGAGAGGACATCTAAAGAAAATGAAGGAGTAAGCCATTTCAAGTAGAGGAAAAAACAAACATGAATGCCCTAAAACTTGCTTGACATGTTTTAAAAAAAAGTACGAACACCAGTGTCGCTGGAACCAAGTAAGTGAGAGAAGTGGCTGGCAATGATGGGAGGTGACTAGATGCTACGAGGTTGGTTTCAGGCTAAGAATCTTTTCTCCTACATGAGATAGAAAGCCACTGGAGTGTTTTAAGCACAGAAATATAATGGTGGGACTTTATTCTCCCTCTAAGTCATGATTACTCTGGTTGCTATGTGGAGTACCAACGGAGGTATGAGCAGGATGGAAGCAATAAGAATAGACCCTGACAATAGTCCTTTGCAGTAGTATTTAATCTATTTTATAGAAGAAACTGAAACTTAGAATAAAATGACATCTGTCAAATCCAGCTCTAACTGACCTCAGACTCTGTGCTCTTTCTTGACTGCTAAATTATACTGTCACTTAGGAAGACAACCAGTAAAAGATAAGGAGTGATGTTTAGAGAGTGATGACCTAGAAAAGGCCATTGAATTTCATAATTATTTAGAGCTATTCCCAAATACAATGGAATTTCTTACTTAGAGGTAAAATCCTATACAAGCCAGAAAGTCTGGCTCCGGAGTCCATGTTTAAGAACTATTCCAGTCTTCATTTCCATGATACACACAATATCATTTAAGATCAATGGAGAGAAAATTCATGCATTGTGCACAGTAGGAATTTTTCCACTCCAGCAGTTACATGAAAAAGTCAGAAGACTAAAAAAGAAATGTGGGGGAAAAAAAGTGGCAAAAGGCACAATCTCACCTAATTCATTAGTGGACCACAGAGAGAAGGAGAAGTAGCTCAAGTGAAGAGTTTAATGTTTTCACCTCAAAAAAGCAAAAGAATACCACCTCCCCCGAGTCCCACCCAATACAGAGTAGACAAAAAACAAAAACAAAAACAAAAAACAGTTACCCTTGAAAAAGAGAGAAGAAATCCCAACCTGTGAATCTGCAGAGGAGATAAAAATAGAAGTCCAGAGATAAAACATATGGCTCAAATAAATAAAATGGAAGATAGGAGCCACAGCAGCTTTGAATGTCTCCAATATTCTCAGTGACTGGAAGAATGTCAACAGCTCAAAGTAGGGAGAACAAGAAGACTGGTAAGAACCAATATATTTAAAGAGCATGAACAATATTTGAACTATATTAGGGCATGTTGTGGAATCAGCAGGAAATACATTAGTGGGTTCATTAAATCAGCACTGTCTAGTCATCGTGCAAAAGAAGAGAAAGCAGGACAAGAGGGTAAGCTGGGGATCTAGAAGGACATAATGGGTCAAAAACAAATATAATTTTAGAAGGTGAAATTTCCCATCTTTGAAGTATAGCATTTAATTAATACTAGTGATAAAACTAACAACCAAGTCTAACAAGTGACTGAAGTACGTTAACTGCTCCAACTAGTACAAAAGATTCAGATTCTAGAAATGCATGTTGTCACGCATATCATGCATGCTGTCATGCATTCTCTAAAAAGGAAATATAGGAATATATATTTATATATAAATTTGTATATATTGTAACTATATATAAACATGATACATTTATATATTAGACTACAAATGTTACCTTCAGTTGTGGCCTGTAAGGAAACATTTCCTAGTCCTAGTTAAGGCCAAACTACGTATCTGTCTCATACCACTTGGCTTTTTTCTCTAAAATTATTATTCCTTCCTGGTTTTGCTCTGCAATTGGACTTTTTAGTCTCAAAATCGCTATCAATTTCTGAGCTTTTCTGAAGACAGCACTGATCTGCAAACTTTACATGTACCAATTCATTTAATCTTCATACTTACTTTCCAAATAGCAGCATTCTGCTTCAAGAGTACTATTAACCACATATATACTGTTATATTATGTAATTACATAAGTATACAATAATATTCAGTAAATAAATTATGAATATATACATCGAGTAAATTATAAATACATAAATTATAAATATCTTCAGTAAATAAAGTCTTTAGAAAAGGCACAGATAGTTTCTCCCTCACTTTGAGGAACACAAAGGCATGACAACATGCAGAATCAGTATATTTTAGACAAGACATATTGCCAGTCCAAAAGAACATAGGTACAAAAATTGAGCCTGTTCAGATACTCGTATAATTTGACAATGCAACTTTACAGCTACTGCATCTACTAACAAAACATTAGGCTCATATTTTGTACATAATTTTTTCTTATTTTACTTTTCTAGTGAAACATTTCACTCTTATTGTATTTTTTTAAAAAAATATTGGTCTGCAAAAGACTGGGAAAAAAACTAGTCCTTCACCATAGATAACAAGCACAATTACATATATGTGTGTGTGTATATACACATATTTATTTTAATGGCATTCGGGAATTTAAAAATTTGAAATATGAGCTGGAGGAAAACAAATACACTCAAAGTACTTGTCAAACTCCTCTTCTTAAAGTCTTTTTTAAAAAGTCTCTCTGAATTGCTTCTAAATTTAAGACACCAGCTGGGCATGATAGCTCAAGCCTGTAATCCCAGGACCTGGGCCCACCTTGGCCTCCTTTTATCTCCCTTGGTTTTTTTGTTTTTTTTTTGAGATAGAGTCTCACTGTTGCCGGCCCGGGCACATAGTCATCTGAGGTGCAATGGTGCAATCTCAGCTCACAGCAACCTTAGCCTTCTGGGTTCCAGCAATTCTCCTGCCTCAGCCTCCAGAGTAGCTGAGATTACAGGCGCCCACCACCACGCCCAGCTAATTTTGTATTAGAGTTTTGTATTTAGAGTTTCATCACGTTGGCCAGGTTGGTCTCAAACTCCTGACCTCAGGTGATCCACCGCCTCAGCCTCCCAAACTGCTTACAGGTGTGAGCCACCACACCCAGGCTTATCTCCCTTTTTCACCAAGGAATTCAAGACAAGCCTGGGTGATATAAAAAATCCCCATCTTTACAAAAAAAACTAAAAATTAGCTGGGTGTATGGCACATGTCTCTAGTCCCAGCTACTTGAGAGGCTGAGGCAGGAGGAGCACTTGAGTCCAGAAGGGTGAGCCTGCAATCGGCTGTGACTACACCGCTGCACTCCAGCATGGGTGACAGAGTAAGATGCTAACTCAAAAAAAAAAAAAAAAAAAAAAGAAGCCTTTAAATTTTAAATATATTGCTTTTATCAATCAAATCTACAATAAATTCAAACGCAGTTCTAAATTAAAAGCTATAAATGACAAACTTCAACTTAAATGTTATATGATTTAGTACTAATAATCAGAAAGTCAAAGGCTTACAATGCTGAATGTCTTCTGATCCAGCTCTTCAGATTCTTCAGAAATGGGAACTGGTTCACCACTTGCTGTGATATGAACTGGAGCATCTGACACTGAAGATTTCTTGGATCTTTCCCTACCATCAGACTTGGATTCGCTCAACTAAAGAAAAAGTGAAAAGAAAACAAAAACAAAACCCCAATAGCAACAAAGGCAAAATGACTAACACTTCCAGAAAATAATTACTGTCTCATTTTATTCTACAAGTGCTCATTCTCATTGAATATCCTCATCTATTTTAATTTTTTTTCCCCAATTTCATTTGGGGAAACAACCAAAGCTACTCTGTAATGTTACTCTGAAAGTAAAACATGAAAGAGTGTTCAGACCTATTATTCTCCTCTACTGCATACCCACACATGCTTCTGAAGAACTCAATTATTGAGACTAGTATCGGCTGATATGCAATTTAGTCTCCTAAAATGTAAATATGCTGATTGTTTTTACTTTCTATTTTTTATTATGATTTGCGTACCTTTTCTTCCTTTATGTCTTTTTCTTTCTGTATAGCTTCTTTTACTTTGTTTTCTCTTTTTTCTTTAAAATCTTTTTCCTTTATATCTTTCTTATCCTCTTTTTCTTTTATCTCCCTTTTAAGTTCTTTTTTATTCTCCTTTTCTTTTGCTTCCCTCTTTTCTTCTGGTTCCTTCTTTATAAAAACATCTGGCTCAGGTTTTTCTTCACTGTCTCTTTCTGTTTTAATTTTTTTATTTGGATGTTTCACAGAACTGATCTCATCCTGAAAAGTGCAAGTATGGCCAATGTATTACTAACCAAATTTTAACAATGACTAATTTTTTTTTCACATGACTACAGATTGCATGTATGTGGATTCTGAAAGACAGCCCAGAATCCCCCTAATAATTATACATGCAATGTTTACCTTCCTATAAAGCCAGTCCCGTTCAAGTTCATAATACAATTAAAGGAGACAGAAGCTCATCGAACTGGCAATTGTTTGAAAAGGAAGGACCTTTGCTCTATGCCTCTAGTGCTATATAATATCTACTGGATAGTTAGAATTCTGTTCTATAAATGAGACTATGTCATGAACCATAAGCACGCGCACACACACACACACACAGACTTCAGTACCTAAAATACAAATTTTAAGGGACTAATTCAAATTTTAAATGTAAAGTACACAAAAACATGCCATAATTCCCTTTCCATAGAAAAGGTTGTTGTTCTAAAACACATTCTTACTTTATCATCATCTTCATCAGACTTCTCTGAAGGCAAAGGAGAAGAATCACTCTTTATTTCCTCTTTCACTTTTATAGACTTCATTGCTTTATTCTTCTTAGCTCTTGCTTTTCTCCTCTTTGAACTTCCCTAAAAATCATTATTTTAATTTTAACCAATTCTACAGATTCCATTTTTAAAAACTTCATAAACATTAAATCCAATGGCTAGAATACATATACCTACCTGATCCTTAGTCTATTGGTAATAAGCTGTACCAACATTAGAAACTCAAAAAAGGTGCTATAACTTAATGAGTCAAATATAATATTAATGTAAATAAAAAATATTAGCCAATTATTATTCCTTTAAAAAAAGAATCAGAGAGAAGTAGAAACAATTTTTTGTCCTCTGAGATTATTATCACCTTCAGCTTAATTCAATAGCACAAGAGACAGCATTAGGAATGATTTTTAATTCTACAGGTAGTTACTGACATTATGGTCATAGGTAAACTTCTAACGGTTGCTATAAGTTTCCAATCACCTCCTTTTTGGTGTCTGTTTCGTTCTTTTTCAGTAAGCTCGGCAAGCTATGATGCTGTCCCTTAAGCACTCTAATGACTCCAAGTAAAACAGTCATGTAGGCTATGTAGGCTTGACTTCTTGAAAAGCACTCTACACTCTAAACGAATTTTCTTTATCCCTCTCTAAAACTAGAAAAAAAAAATCCTACTTCTAAAAGCTATGATTCACCAGTTTTAACATGTATGGCGAGATAATTTAAGGTAAAATTTGAATATGGCAACATCAAATAAAACTACTTAATTATAGAAAAACCTATTTATATAAGCTCATATTGACTTCAGATGTTTAGCATGGTCAAGTAAACAAAATTTATCTTACTAAAAACTAAACTGGTCTTAGGCATGTGGGCCTTAACTTACCGCACCAGAAAGAGCTTCTTTTTTTGCAAGATCTCTACTAAGTAATTTGATGAGGTAGTCTGCACGGGTCTGCAACTGTTTTGCTTGTGGTTTTTTATCAGGATCATCTGGAAGAATCTGAAAAAGCAATTAACGTTTTCACATTGTCTTAATAAATAACATGAGAAATTGGGTAAAACATGCTTAACCATTTAAATATATATATACACATATAGTTCACCAAGTTTCAATTATTAGTATTTGTAGGAATAAACTCAATGCAAAATACATTTTTTATACCTATGCCAGAGCCAAAGATTTAATTTTTCTGAGAATGAATTCTAAATATACTTTAAATACCCTCATATTATCTTTCAAAATGAAAATAGAAAGTATGAGGTTGTAAATTTCCTTCAAATATACAAAAGTGTACTTAACATCCACTGTTATTCCATGTTATATAATCCTTAAATGCCTTCCCTTCTCAGTAAAAGTGTATTTATATATAATGTACACAAAAATTCCTAGAATACAAGATGTCATCTTTCTAGAAGAAGACCTAAAGCATACACTGGGAGGAAAGTTTTATAGGGGAATCTAGACTACTTAATTTTTTCTTCACAGTAACAAAGCACCAATATCTAAAGGTTCCCAACACATAAGTATAAACAATAAGGAAGTTCTCCCAGTGTTTCCCGTTTTAGGCAAAAAAAAAAAAAAAAAAAAAGATTTCAGCTAGCACAGTGCAACCAAATGACCAAAAATACTAAAATACCGATGTTTTTAAAAATATATATAAAAGATTTTAATGATTTTGTCTTACTGGAATAATAAAATTAATGATGAATGGGTACAAATATATAGTTAGATGGAAGAAATAAGACCTAGTGTTTGATAGATGAGTAGGGTGACTATAGTTAGCAATAATCTATACATTATAAAATAGCTAGAAAAGAATCATTTGAATGTTCCTAGTGTAAAGATAAATATTTAAGGTGATAATGTCCCAGTTACCCTGATTTCATCTCTACATATTATATGATTGTATCGAATTATCACACACCTCCGAAAATATGTACATCTACTATGCATCAAAAAATTTTTGGTAGAATAAAACTTTTAACCTAATAATCTGAAAAATAATACACCTAATGCCTTAATGACATATAATTTCACAGTAACGCAAAATCTCAGAAATCATTTAAATTTCATCTTTTCATGCAAGTCATCTTCTAAATACACCAAGATCACACAACTAGCTAGAGCCTTGGTTTACATATTTCCATTATTTCCAACATAAAAGTAAGAATTAGAATAAATTAAATTCAACATGAATGGTCAACAGAATCAAGAAATAGAAGTACCTTGTGTGTTAGACTGAGGTCAGGATCCATTTTAATCATTTCCCAGCTTCCATATCCATATTCATAGATGCCAATTAACAAATTGGAATCATCTTCTTTGCCCCAGTCTATATCAAAATGAGCTGCCTTTGTGTGGCATGGGATAGTATACCTGGCATTAAAGTTAATAACTAATGGTAAGTTTGTAATTGCCTTACTGAAAAATTAATTTTGAAAAACGTGAGTCATTAGAACTTTAAAATACTATGCTTTATTTTTTTTTTTCATAACTAGCCAATAACACCATAAAAATAAAGCACATTCATTTTGTAATTATTGACTAAGAAAAATCTTACAATGGAGAAAATAAGTAACTCACTGCTTTCTTTCTTCTGGATCAGAAGGAATGGATTTGTGCAAAGGTATTAATTCTTCTTCATGGGAGATGACTAGCTTGGCATTCACCTGTACTCCTGATATTCGGAATGTTGGACCCTTCACTTTTCCGAGTCTACCACCTTGATTTTTTTTTAAAAAAAGAGTATTTTTAAAAGTATAAAACATAATTCTATAAAACACCAAGCAGCAGATGCTATTACTTATGTTATTTAACAATAAGTATTCTTTATTTATGTTATTAAGAGATTTACTGGAAAACCTTAAATTTCATTACATATGAACTAGTGATTATCATCTAGCAGATGTAGATTCACGAAAAGTATTTATCTGTTTTACCAATTACATAAGATGGATCAATCTATTAATACCATCAACCTCTAAATAAAGAATTATAGGATGATGACTCAGGGTCTTGCTCTGTCACCCAGGCTGGAAGTGCAGTGGTGCAATCATTGCTCACTGCAGCCTCGACCTCCTGGGCTACAGCAACCCTCCCACCTCAATTCACAAGTAACTGAGAATACAAGCATGCACAATCACACCCTGCTAATTTTTATTTTTTCATTTTTCTTAGACACGGGGTCTCATTACGTTGCCCAGGCTGGTCTCAAACTCCTGGGTTCAAGCTAAACCCCCATCTCAGCCTCCCCAAGTGCTGGGATTACAGGTATGAGCCACTATGACTGGCCTGCTTATTAAATCTTATCTAAGTATTTTTATTCAGGTAAATGAACTGTAAAATAAGCATAATAATAAAATAATTATGTACCAAACCAATATCACATATGTATATTTGCATATTTTCCCAGTCATCTATACTAAAAAACCCTATAGATACTATACATATTGTATTGTGTGTGTATGTACACATATACGTATATGTATACACAACACACACACACACACACACACACACATATATATATAACTGACAGTAATTTTTGACCTTACCTCTCAGACAGAAAATGTCAGCGGAATTAAAAACAGATTCTACTGCCTTCAAATTGCAATTCTGTTCTCCATTTCCTATTACCCAGAATGGCTTTACTTTGCTTCATAAATAATCTTTTGAGACTGATGAATAGATAACTTAAGATATAATATCTAGCTCAACAAAGCATGTTTTGAAACTTTCATTTACTTCTCTTTTAAATCACTCTCATTTTAATGTTACCTGTTCGTTCTGTTCCTGAAGAACTATCCTTTAAAGCTTTAATGCAACCATTATGTACCAATTCTCCCAGTCGTCTAAGGTCTGTTTCCGACTTATCAACTAATTCAGCATCTCGAGCAATTGCATCTAATCTGTAACAAAATAATCCCATTTTCAGGTAAATATGTAAAATGAAGTGGTGCCATTTAAGATAAACTAAGTTTCACTCTATTTCAAGATCTAAATGCTACTCTACTGCATGCTCTCTATATTCTTGTTCATATAAATGGCAGGAAGCACATAAAAACACGGACAATGTGGCAGAGAAACAATTCATTTATATATTCAATAAGTTTACTTAATTATAGAGCAAATGGAAGATTACATACCAATTCTGTAAAAGCTTTTAATAACTGATCAAATTTTAAGATGTTCAAAATGAAGTGTGAAGTTTTATAATTGTAAACAAAAAAGCTGAGTAAAGTTCTGTAACTTTTTATTTCTCTGCACCAAATAATAAGAATGATTAATATTCAAGACTTTTGTTCATCTAAAATAATTATGCAAGTATTTTGTTATATTTTAAGTATGCCATCTCAAAATGAAACAGAAAATATGTCTATTTTTGAAGGGATTTTTTAGATAAAAAATAAACTAATTTGAGTCTTTGCTGGTCTATATTCAAACAGTGGGTTGACCACAACAAAGGGCAAAGAATATCCAAATCACAATACTTAGTGAGATTATTTGATAACTTCAAAAAACTGTCTTAATTTGAATTTCAATACAGTTTGTATAATAAGAGAATGAATTCGAGAAAATTAAGAAAATATCTCTAGTTAGGGAAAGCAGAGCTGGTTAAAAGGCTGTGTTAGCCTTTGGGAGGCTGAGGCGGGCAGATCACCTGAGGTCAGGAGTTCTAGACTAACCTGGACCACATGATGAAACACTGTCTCTACTTAAAAAAAAAAAAAAAAAAATTAGCTGGATGTGGTGGCACACCCCTGTAGTCCCAGCTGCTTGAGAGGCTGAAGGAGGAGAATCACATAAACCCAGGAGGCGGAGGTTGCAGTGAGCCGAGATCGTGCCACTGCACTCCAGCCTGGCAGACAGAGTGAGACTCCATTCAAAAAAAAAAAAAGACTGGATTAGCAACTCAGCTCTTCTATGGATAAATCTGCTTATGCTACTTTTAAGTTACTAATGAAAAATGAGATAAAGACTGTAAAAAGTGTCTTACAGTCATAAAAGTGCAATTTAAACATGTACTGTATAAATAACTTCATTTACAGGAAAGAAATCTGAGACTAGAAATTAAAGATAGTATAAAAACATTTTTAAAAATCAATCTGAAATTTGTCTTGTACATTAATTTTGTAAATGCCGATTAAAAGCAAATTTAACAAAGTAGCTAAACTGAATGTTAACACAAACAAAGCTGACAGCATGTAACACATTCCATTATTCTATGAGAATAATAAATGTATTTACCTTTCCAGAGGACCACCAAATTTCTTATAGCTCTTGATAAACCTAAGACAAAATAATTGTTTGGTAAATGTGAGCTTCAGTATTCACTAAAAATATAGGTATTTCTAATATTTACAGATATAAGAAGGTACCTGTTAGTATAAAAATTAATTCAAGGCACTGTTATCTAAGAAGAATGAATCAACTATGCTAAAAACAAAAATGTTAAAACATTAAGATACAGCAGGTAAGACAAGGCATATTTTAACACCCAGGATGATGTTTAGAGATATCAGTATAAATAAAACAGTAGAAGCTAAATTTTGTTTTAAAAATTACTTTATTATTTTCATAAGACCAAAAAAGGTCTGAAGCTACCATAGGAACAAACCCAGATGTGTATAAGAGACAGGATGAATAGATAACTTAAGATATAATATCTAGCTCAACAAAGCATGTTTTGAAACTTTCATTTACTTCTCTTTTAAATCACTCTCATTTTAATGTTACCTGTTCGTTCTGTTCCTGAAGAACTATCCTTTAAAGCTTTAATGCAACCATTATGTACCAATTCTCCCAGTCGTCTAAGGTCTGTTTCCGACTTATCAACTAATTCAGCATCTCGAGCAATTGCATCTAATCTGTAACAAAATAATCCCATTTTCAGGTAAATATGTAAAATGAAGTGGTGCCATTTAAGATAAACTAAGTTTCACTCTATTTCAAGATCTAAATGCTACTCTACTGCATGCTCTCTATATTCTTGTTCATATAAATGGCAGGAAGCACATAAAAACACGGACAATGTGGCAGAGAAACAATTCATTTATATATTCAATAAGTTTACTTAATTATAGAGCAAATGGAAGATTACATACCAATTCTGTAAAAGCTTTTAATAACTGATCAAATTTTAAGATGTTCAAAATGAAGTGTGAAGTTTTATAATTGTAAACAAAAAAGCTGAGTAAAGTTCTGTAACTTTTTATTTCTCTGCACCAAATAATAAGAATGATTAATATTCAAGACTTTTGTTCATCTAAAATAATTATGCAAGTATTTTGTTATATTTTAAGTATGCCATCTCAAAATGAAACAGAAAATATGTCTATTTTTGAAGGGATTTTTTAGATAAAAAATAAACTAATTTGAGTCTTTGCTGGTCTATATTCAAACAGTGGGTTGACCACAACAAAGGGCAAAGAATATCCAAATCACAATACTTAGTGAGATTATTTGATAACTTCAAAAAACTGTCTTAATTTGAATTTCAATACAGTTTGTATAATAAGAGAATGAATTCGAGAAAATTAAGAAAATATCTCTAGTTAGGGAAAGCAGAGCTGGTTAAAAGGCTGTGTTAGCCTTTGGGAGGCTGAGGCGGGCAGATCACCTGAGGTCAGGAGTTCTAGACTAACCTGGACCACATGATGAAACACTGTCTCTACTTAAAAAAAAAAAAAAAAAAATTAGCTGGATGTGGTGGCACACCCCTGTAGTCCCAGCTGCTTGAGAGGCTGAAGGAGGAGAATCACATAAACCCAGGAGGCGGAGGTTGCAGTGAGCCGAGATCGTGCCACTGCACTCCAGCCTGGCAGACAGAGTGAGACTCCATTCAAAAAAAAAAAAAGACTGGATTAGCAACTCAGCTCTTCTATGGATAAATCTGCTTATGCTACTTTTAAGTTACTAATGAAAAATGAGATAAAGACTGTAAAAAGTGTCTTACAGTCATAAAAGTGCAATTTAAACATGTACTGTATAAATAACTTCATTTACAGGAAAGAAATCTGAGACTAGAAATTAAAGATAGTATAAAAACATTTTTAAAAATCAATCTGAAATTTGTCTTGTACATTAATTTTGTAAATGCCGATTAAAAGCAAATTTAACAAAGTAGCTAAACTGAATGTTAACACAAACAAAGCTGACAGCATGTAACACATTCCATTATTCTATGAGAATAATAAATGTATTTACCTTTCCAGAGGACCACCAAATTTCTTATAGCTCTTGATAAACCTAAGACAAAATAATTGTTTGGTAAATGTGAGCTTCAGTATTCACTAAAAATATAGGTATTTCTAATATTTACAGATATAAGAAGGTACCTGTTAGTATAAAAATTAATTCAAGGCACTGTTATCTAAGAAGAATGAATCAACTATGCTAAAAACAAAAATGTTAAAACATTAAGATACAGCAGGTAAGACAAGGCATATTTTAACACCCAGGATGATGTTTAGAGATATCAGTATAAATAAAACAGTAGAAGCTAAATTTTGTTTTAAAAATTACTTTATTATTTTCATAAGACCAAAAAAGGTCTGAAGCTACCATAGGAAGTATCTCCATAATAACTATTAATTATATTACACTTCCTCACATTCCAAGTGCTGATAAAAATTTACTGAATGGCTTTAATTCAGATGCGTGGTATTACAACAACAAAAAATTAAAGTTTTACTTAAGACAGCTACATAAGTGGTTAATAAATGAGGAAAAATATCCAGGTAAAGTAGAAGTCGAAATGCTTCCTCAACTAAAGACGAAAAGTCCAGCAATTCAGGTGGTCAGTACCTTTAAAAAAGGCTAACAATGTATTAAGTTTTCTGGTAGAAAGAATGAGGAAGAATTTTGTCAGGTCTAAGATTTAAAAGAAAAAAGTTACAATGGCTTGCAAGAAACAAACTTTCAAAATACAAAACTGAACAAGATTTTAATAAATTTCATATCCAAAACTATTACACAAACAAAAGTAAGCCGTTATCCCATTCCCCTTAAATAAATGTGTATATATAAACATTCTGAATGGACATTACAATTTATCCTGCATGGTCAATCTTACCTCACCTCAATTCCTACTTCAACATATCAGAGAAGGTTTTATAACAGGGTTATTTTCAAAAAGGAAATGACCTTGGTGTTAAGAAACTAGAAAAATACAGAACTTCTACAAAATATTAGTAACTGGGAGTCCTAAATGCAGTGAGAATTTTTAATAAAAAATTTTAATAAAAAACCAAATGTATCATAAACACTTTTATTATTCAAAAGGATCACTATTTTGAGTCAAATTAATAAAAAAATTTTTGCAGCCTAAGTAGTTTAGCAATAAATAAATAACACGCAAAGGTAAGACACTAAACTTGTTAGTTATAATACCCAAAGGCAGAACCACCCAATTCCTACTCAAATAACATACATTTGCCTCTTCTAAAACTTCATCACAATTTTTGAAAATTATGAAATTTTTATATTTTAGTTTCACACTCTACTAAAACTAAGTTGAAGCGATTGTCTTATATCATCTTACCGCCTAATTTCTGCATCACTAAATCCTTTAATATTCTCGCGAGGAATAGTCCGTGGTCTTCCCCGTTTCTTTGGCCTTTTCCCTTCTGAGATGGAATCACTATCAGATCCAGAGTATCTCCTACTTCTACTGCGCCTCCCTTCACTTCCATTGAAACTAATCTGGAATTGGAAAATAAATATTTACCCAACCTTAGTGTAAAAACAGCTTTTATCTTAGGAGCAAAAGCCATTATAAAAGATGGTCAGAATCTTAAAAATGTTATTCAAAGTATCAAAAACATTCCATAAACAAAATTAAAAAGCAAACAGAAAAATATATACATCTGGTGGGTATTTTGACTTAAAGGGTAATGAGACAATGTTACATCAAAAGCCTCAAAAGTTATTCTTCTGACCCAGCAACATAACTTCTAGGCATTTTTCCTGAGGAGATCAGAACTGTGAAGAAACACTGATCAATAAAGTTATTTACATCATAAAAGAAAAATGTGGCTGAGCGCAGCAGCTCATGCCTGTAATCCCAGCATGACAAGGCAGGAAGATAACTTGAGCCCAGGAGTACAAGACCAGCTTAGGCAACATAGTGACACCTTGTCTCTACCAAAAATTTAAAATATTAACGAGGCATTTTTGGAGCATGCACCTGTAGTTCCAGCTACTTGAGAGGCTGAGGTGGGAGATCACTTGACCCCAGGAAGTTGAGGCTGCAGTGAGCCATGATTGTACCACTGCATTTCAGCCTGAGCAACACAGTGAGATCCTGCCTCAAAAACAAAAAGCAAATAATCTAAATACTCATCAAAGAGAGACCAGACAAATCTATATGATAGAATGCTAAGAGACCATTAAAAACGGGGTTGTAGAATAGTTAACATTCATGACATACTGTCAAAAAGAAGAAAAAGTTCCAAATTAATACGACTCCACAATTTAATTTGGCAAATGATAATGAATTTTTAAAAACTGGAATGATGTACACTGTGATAATATTAGTCGTTATCTCTGAGGGAACGGATTGATTAACTGTCCCTTTTTTTCTGTTCTGCTTAATATCGACATATTGCTATTCTAACTAGACAAGTCAGATATTTGAAAGAAAAAAATGCCAGTTGAACCCACATAAAAGACTATTTGTAACATCCATTAATTTTAATGGGATACATCAAAACATACATTCTGTAAGTCTTGGGAGTTTTTCCAAAGCTTTGGCACATATTCTGAACCTGTAATATGCTGAAACTTAAATGAAGTAAAAAATGGTATTTAGACCTTATTTTTTCTAACCTCCCTTAATCCTTTCACAAGATCTAATGTAATGCTGCATTCTCACACACTCTAAAACAAAACTACTTAGGGGTTTGAAGAAATAAACAGAAACAAGAAATAACATACATGGTTACTTTTAGGCCAAAAACATTATTTTTGGCTCCACTTCTGGCTGTTATGTAGAAACTTGGTAGGGGCACTGCTCCTACTCTAACAACAAATCTGATCTACAAGATCCTAATTCTTCTGTTTAACATCAGAGAGATGAATTTCAGGGCAACCTATACATCTAAATGTAAGGAAATACAGGAGATTGCAAAAAGAGAAAAAGATATAGGACTCGAACAGTGGCTCATTTGTGGACAGCATAGGTGACAGAAATCAAGTACCATACAAGACGGTATCAGCTAAAATCTGCTAATGGCTGAGTATAGGCTATTGTGAGATCATAGGACCTAACAGCCAAAACTCGGAGGACCTGCACCCATTCTCAGGCACTCTGCCACAGACTTCCACTAGGTGATCATGAGAAAGCAGCATGGTAGAAGACTGGACAAAACTTTTCTCCATGGTACAGCCTTAGAGAAAGTGAGCAGTCACCTTTGTGGAAACAGGAAGGAAGCCTTGCCAGACCCTTCTCATCTGCTCAACTGAGGGCACAGAATAAGATCTAATATGGTTGCAAGAAAATAAAAAACAAAAAACTCTACCCTTGGGGGAATGGTAGCAGGGCAGGGACTAGAGTGGGGCAAGGCTCTCATTTGCCCCAGGCTTAAAATTTAAGGAAACACCAAAAAACTCAGTAATCAAGACAAATAATTTTATAATATCCTAAAAACCAAAGGATAACAGAAAAAGAAATTAGTCTTAGAATTTTTTCTTTTTTGGCAATATAGCTTGGCATGGCACTATTACAGTTATTTAAAAATCTGATATTTGTTTACTTAGGCCACTGAATAAATACCAAATGTTTAAAAACTAAAATTACATAAAGTATGCTTTCTGAACATGGTAGAATTAAATTACCAATAATTAACAAAGATAGTTGAAAAATCTCCTAAATACCTGAACATTTTAAAACATACTTCTAAAAACACCTATGGGTCAAAGAGAAGTCACATGGGAAATTTTAAAATATTTTTAAATTAAGGAAAATATAAAGATAGATTTGGAAGATTCAGAAAAAGCAATGCTTAAAGAAAAATTTGTAGCATTAAATGCCGATATTAGAAAAGAGAGATTACATTTCTATATCTAAGCTTGCACCTTAAGAAACTGAATAAAAGAGGCCAGGTGCAGTGGCTCACACCTATAGTCCCAACATTTTGGTAGGCCAAGGCGGATGGATCACTGAAGCCCAGAAATTCCAGACTAGCCTGGACAACGTGGCAAAACCCCATCTCTACAGAAAGCATACAAAAATCAGCTGGGTGTAGTGGGACACACCTGTGGGAGGATCATCTAAGGCCATGAGGTTAAGGTTGCAGTGAGCCAGACTTGTGCCACTGCACTCCAGCCTTGGCAACAGAGCAAGATGCTGTCCCAAAGAAAAAAAAAAAAAAGAAAGAAAAGAGCAAATTAAATCAAAAGCAGAAAGGAAGAAATAATAAATTGCAGAAACTCATGAAATTAAAAACACACAAAAAAAATCAATGAAACCAGCTGGTTCTTTGAAAAGATGAATAAAATACAAGAGGAGTAAACACTTCTCATTTCATGAGGCAAACATTATCAAATCAAGGACATTACAAGAAAAGAAAACTATGGACTGATACCTCATAGAAACAAACAAAATCGGTCCAGGTTGAATACTCTACTTTATAGAAACATCTTTAAAATTGCAAAATCACCTGTTTTGCACAATTTCTCATTCTTGGGAGCATATAAATTTCTTCAAGTTCCTTTTGTCTTTCTTCTTCTTCTAATCGTCTTCTTTGATCTTCGGGAATAATTTCCTCCCAATTCTTTGAATTTCTTTCAGGTTCCAACTCAATGTCATCCTCATCCATATTTGAGAAGTTGGCAACCTGATAAATTTCAGAATTTTAAGAGTAACTGTTATAGAAAAATTGATCCCTAATTTTTTTTTTAAAGGGAAGAAACTGACATGCCTAAATATCCTTAGGATAATGAATATGACTGTGGACTAAACCAAAAATAACTTCTAAACAACCTAGATTCATTACCTCATTCATTATCTCACAAGCAGATCAAACAAATGACATCTAATAATCCTCTAGGAAAGATTTTCTTTTGCCCTACTGCTCAAAATTAGTAGCATCTCAGAACTAAAAGCAGTTAACAGAACAAAAAAAAAAGTAATTTATACTATTAACATGCTAAATAATCTGCAGAAATTCTCAGACCAGTCCATGTATCAAGTATTGTAGAACAATCTAATATCATTTTTATGATCACAAAAACACAATCTAAAGAGCTACTGGCAGCAAAGAGCTACTGGCAGAGACACAGAGCTCTTTGAGAGCACACTACCTTCTGGGAGGATTATATAAGATAGCACATTTAAGGTACTATGCAAGGTCTGGTATACAGAAAGCACCCATTAAGGCTAACTATCACAGCCGGGCGAAGTGGCTCACGCCTGTAATCCCAGAAACCACCTCTTAACCAGGATTACTCAACAGTCTTCTATCTTATCTCCCTGCTATAGCTCTTGTCTCACTACAGTCAGTCATCCACATAGCAGCCAGAGTGATATTAAAATTACAAAAGTTTTTTATTCACTGTGTGGGGTACATGCAGATGTTCTATAAATACCTGTCAAATGAACACATGAAATGAACTGACCCTTAAAAACTGCAGTTCATAGAAAATAGCTAAGATGTAGAGAAGCCTGTTTCTTTAAACAAATGGCACTTAACTTACTCCATGAGGTCAGTTGACTTATGTTGTTTTAGGACTCCTTTCAACTCACTGGCCCTCAAAAAACCAGGGATATTAAGTATCAATATATAGTAGCTTATTGCTTATTTTGACTGATTTACTTGAGTTTTCTTATTTGTGATAAGTTAATGTCAAAAACTGCTTCAAAAAAAATCAGCCGAAAGCTTTCAGTCATGGACATCTAAGTAAGAGATCACATTGATTCATTTACTTACTCAAGTATTTAAGGACATGCTATTTGCCAAGCACTATTCTAGTTGCTAATTAGCAAACAACAGCTCTTTCCACCCAACAACATGTAACTTCATAAATGGATCTGGTCTCTCTCAAATCAGTTTGCTACTGGTTTGTCTGAACAAGGGAGAGTAGTTTTTATACAACATAGCAATCTTTCTGATTATGCTTAAAGAAAGATTAACAAACCACTAAATGACAATAATTCAATTCCTCTCAATTTATGTAATTACAAGGAAAATTTTGTTTAAATCTACCTTGAACTGGGAAAGCAATTCGTCTCCTACAGTTAAAGGACCTGGTTCATTTTCATGAGTTTCAGCTCTCTTCAAGATTTCATCTATATCCATTTCCTATAATTAGAAAAACAATATTTAAATATACTTGAATCCTTTCATCCTACCAAACAGATGACACATATTCTGAAGCGGGTTTGTTGTTTTGTTTTGTTTTTTTTTTTTTTACCTGGGGCTCTTGTTCTTCTCCTTCAGGTTCCTTAAAAAGTTCCTCAGCACCAAACTTTAAAATGGCTGATAACTCTTCTTTATTGAAAGGAGTAGAACTAAAAGAGGAAAAACAAAAATGCTTAACATTAACAGTTAAAAATATTTACACAGCACTTTTATTAATTACTGACATTTTCACGTTTACAAAAGTTACATGAGGAAGTTAGATGAATCAAGTATTAGTATCCTTTTTTTTTTGAGACAGTCTCTCACTCTGTCACCCAGGCTGAAGTACACTGGCACAATCTTAGCTCATTGCAACCTCCGCCTACCAAGCTCAACTGATCCTTCTGCCTCAGCCTCCTCAGTAGCTGGGACTACAGTCGTGTGTCACCATGCCCATCAAGTTTTTTATTTTTTGTAGAGGTGGGGTTTCACCATGTTGTCTACGGCAGTATATTTACTTTAAAATAAGGAACTTGAAGCACAGAAGTTAAAGAGATTACCCCTAAAATTACAAATCTATAGCGATGAAACCAGGTATTGAAGTATGTCTTCTAACTAGAAATTAGTCAAAAGTCTTCCAAAATATAAAAAGTACAACACTGAATACATTTCCTCAATGATCTATAGTGATGTAACATATCAAAAAAATGAGTTTCCTGACTCTAAAATGACATTTTTTAAATAATAAAGTAACCACCTTGATGGGGCAGAACCTGTATGTAGTACTGTCTTCCCAGTTGTGTCCATTCTTTGAATTACAAGATGATCTAAAACCATCTTCTTTTTGGCCCTTTCAAGAATATCTTCTTCAACTGATCCCTTTGTAACTAGACGATAAATATTCACCTGTAAAAACAGACACGAGGAAACAAATTGCAGCATAAAGGATTTGTTTTGCTAACTTCAAGTGCCTAAACATTGGCACACAAATTGAAGCTCATTCTACACTACATGAAGTTTTCATGGGTTAAAAGCAAAATGAAAATTTAAAAAACATGTTTAAAGCTAGAGTTCCTCAACTCAAACTATTTTGAAATATATCCTTCCTTCATTCTTAACATTTTGGCAAGGAGACTGCATTTGCTTATTTTTGCTTTTTTTTTTAAAGGAAAGACAGTAATTTGTAAGTTATGATTTAGCTGGGGAAAATGGGGGGGAGCACATAAACTTCTGACAGCCTTATTATACTCGCTGCCTTGATTCTAATGTTTCATCACTCTATATAATGCAAAATTCTATGAACCACTCCCCAAGTTAATTAATAAGAAGCCCACCATAAAACAAACTCTTCAAAATTGAAAAAAAATTGGTGTAGTAAATTTTCCCTATTTCTCTAGGTAAAGGTTCAGTACCATCATTTAAGGGTATTTTGTTACAATTATAAAAATGGGGTCACATATTATATGTGGAGAATCTTGGAAGCACATGGACAAAATATACACTAACAGAAAGGCAGCATATGCTACTCAAACTCTTTCAAGTTAAAACAAGCAAGTAGACTTTTATTATAATTGAAAAACACTGCATTTTATAGTTATGACTAGAACACAGGATAAAAACAGCATACATGATCCTATTTATGCATAGCTACCTCAATTCTGTCATATTCTCCAGGTGATTTTGGTAAACCAAGTTCCTTAGCATCCTATCTGTTAAATAGTAGTATGACTGTTGCAGTGATCTTACCCTCTAGAAGATACACTGAAACCATTCCCTCCCAAAAAAGAATTCTAAAACAGCAACATAATACAAATTAAAATTAAAAATACCTGTTTCTTTTGCCCAATTCGATGGGCTCTAGCCTGTGCCTGAAGATCATTCTGTGGATTCCAATCGGAATCAAATATAACAACAGTGTCGGCAGAAGCTAAATTAATCCCTAGACCTCCAGCTCTTGTAGACAGCAAAAAGCAAAAATCCTGTAAGAAATTGAATAATCAAAATGAAAATTTTTCAATTAATTTTCTGAACTTAAACAGCATGTTACTAATTAAACAAAAAGGCAGTTTTTAAAAGTAATACATAAACATCTAGCAAGACCAACCAACAAAAAGACTCCAAAATCAAATATATATGTTATTAATACCAAATTCAATATAGTGTTTACTTCTGTTGAAAAAAAAAAAAAAAGAAAATGGAATAGGAAAGGAATAATGCTTCAACTCGAACTGTAAATTTTATTTCCTTAAAAAATAAAAGGCACATACCAAAAAAAAAGAACTCTATGGAAAATAGTGTGGAAATTCCTTAAAGGAACTAAAAGTAGAACTACCATTTGATCCAGTAATCCCACTACTGAGTATCTGCCCAGAGGAAGAAAGTCATTACATGAAAAAGATACTTGTATATACATGATTATAGCAGCACAATTTGCAATTGCAACAATGTGCAACCAGCCCAAATGCCCATCAATCAACAAGAAGATAAACTGTGGTATACATATACAATGGAATACTACTCAGACATAAAGAGGAATGAAACAATGGCATTCGCAGCAACCTGGATGGGATTGGAGACTATATTCGTTTTTTTTGTTTTTTTTTTTTTGAGATGGAGTCTCACTCTTTTTATTTTGCCGCACTGTAACCTCCGCCTCCCAGGTTCAAGCAATTATCCTGCCTCAGCCTCCCAAGTAGCTGGGATTACACGTATGCACTACCACACCCAGCTAATTTTTGTATTTTTAGTAGAGATGGGGTTTCACCATGTTGGCCAGCCTGGCCTCGAACTCCTGACCGCAAGTGATCAACCTGCTTCAGCCTCCCAAAGTGCTGGGATTACAAGTGTAACCCACCACGCCCAGCCTGGAGACTACTATTCTGAGTGAAGTAACTCAGGAATGGAAAACCAAACATTGTATGTTCTCAACTCATAAGAGGGAACTAAGCTATGAGGATGCAAAGTAATAAGAAATGATACAAAGGACTTTGGGGACTCAGAGGGAAAGGGTAGGAGGGGGTGAGCGATAAAAGACTACAAATTTGGTTCAGTGTATACTGGTGAAGGGTGCACCAAAATCTCACAAACCACCACTACAGAACTTACTCATTTAACCAAATATCACCCGTTTCCCAAAAATCTATGGAAATAAAAAAAAAACTTCAAAGCAAAGTGTGATAATTTGCTGTTTCGGGGTCTTGTCTTTACTTTTTTTGAGACACAGTCTCACCTCTATTGCCTGAGCTAGAGTCTAGTGGCATGAGCATAGCTCACCGCAGCCTCAAACTCCTGAGCTAACTGATCCACTTAACTCAGCCTCCCAAGTAACTGGGACTATAAGGGAGTGCCACCATGCCCAGTTTATTTTTTTACTTTTTTTTTTTTTTTGTACAGACAGCAGTCTGTTTCCCAGGGTGGTCTCAAACTCCTGGCCTGAAGCGATTCTCCTGCACTGGCCTCCCAAAGTGCTGGGATTACATGTGTGAGCTACCGTGCCCAATCTACCTAATTTATTTTGAAGCAAATTAAAGTAACTGTTCCATACTGAAACAGTATTGATAATAAACGGTAAAATTATTGGCTGGGCATGGTGGCTCACACCTGCAATCCTAGCACTTTGGGAGGCCGAGGCAGGTGAATCACCTGAGGCCAGGAGTTCAAGACCAGCCTAGCCAACATGGTGAAGCCCCATCTCTACTAAAACTACAAAAACTAGCCAGGCACGGTGGCATGCGCCTGTAATCCCAGCGACTTGTGAGGCTGAAGTAGGAGAATAGCTTGAACCCAAGAGGCAGAGGTTGCAGTGAGCTGAGATCATGCCACTGCACTCTAGCCTGAGCAACAGAGCTAGACTCTGTCTCAAAGAGTGCAATTCTTAGGTTTTAACTAGAATAGTGACTTTAAAACCTCGTTTGCTGATCAAAGGTGGCTAACACTACTCCTTTTTTATCAAACTAGATATGAAGATTAAAAATGTCTGAATAATGTAATATACTGATACTAAATCAAAATTATTTATAATTTAAAAAGCATTAATACATACCTCTGATCCCTCAGCATTAAAATGATCCAGAGCTTGTTTCCTCAGTTCTCCTTTTATTGATCCATCTAATCTCTAGAATAAAACACATTAAAATACTGCATATAACAGAATCGAAATGTTACAAAGCAATTATAAAATTAAGTAGAAATATGAAGCATGTCTTGCTAAAACTATAATAGAAGGTACCTACTAGACGGTAAAATAATGCTCAGGCATTCCGTCTTTGGTCTGTGCTCCAAATCACTAAGACTGCACCCTCAAGAGTAAATACAGCATAGGCTGTCATACTATTCTGCCTCAGTCCCATTCTAAAGGTATGTGATTGAGTACACAGCTGTTTACAAACACCTGAAACAAGTTTCATATCATGCCATGACATACTGTGTTATACTCTCATGTTTTATCATTTTACTTTCAAAATGTTGGTGTAACCCATTAAACTGATTCACAGATCCATTAACAGGTTACAATTAAGTACAGTGTGGTTACTAGAACAGCATTAGTGTCACTTGAGAACACAGATAGGCAAATTATTCAGCTCTACCCCAGACCTACTGAAGGGGTTTAGCAAAGGCCATCCAATTAATTCTGATGCACACTAAAGTTCGAAAATTATTGACGTGAAGCATCATGGGCTCTAGTCAACATCCTGCAAATGAGTATTTTATTCACTGGGTATCTTGAGCAAGTGATTTGACTTTTCTACACAAACTTTTTCTCCATGTCAGTTCTGCTTTAAGTAAAACAGACGTAATAGTAGTCCCTCTTTCGTAGACTATAGAGAACTCAGTGAGAGAACATAGGAAAACACGTAGCACAGTGCCTACACATACTGAATGCTTATTAAACATTAGCTACTATTTCACTTTATAAATGGCAATGATTTTGTAATAATTACCTGGTTATAGACTAGAAATAACTTGTCTACTGTGATCCATGCATTTAACAGATGTATTAAACTAGTATTTTGGAAAGCCATACGCCTACCTTTGCTTTGTTACTGTATGAATTTTAACTCTGAGAAGAAAAATATATACATTTTAAATGATGTATTCTAAGCGGTTTAAGTGAAATGCTCTTAATTATCACCTATACAAAGTAGGAAAACAGATGTCTATTAAGGTTTTTAAAAAAATAATGTTTCTTTTCCACTAAAATACAAACTAGTACAAATATTAAGAATAGTGGCATCTCATTACTGTGGCATGACCTAAACCAAATAAAATTAAAAATGATTCTCTCCAGGAAGCGACCTAGGAACAAGAAGGCATTAGCGGCAGAGAAGTGGTGCTTATAAACACTCAAAATTAGTCAAACTAATTTTTTGTTTGACCAGGTACACAATAATTTGTTTAAAAACAAATCAACACAAGGCAGGAGAAGAAAGCAAATGGAAGGACAGGAGGAATAGCTAAAGGGTACAAGTTGCTTTCCGATGAAAATGTTCTAAAACCACCTGTCTGACAATTACACATATCTGTGAACATAGTAAAAACCACTGAATTGTATACTTTAAATGAGTAAATTGTATGATATGGGAATTACATATCAGTAAAAGTGTTTTCAAAACCCTCAACTAATGGTACTCTTCTACGTTTTCCCCTAAATGATTGTAATTATTTCTCAATGATATTCATATCACCAAATACCTGTCCTTCTTCACAACACTTACCAGAATTGTAATGTTACATTTATTTGCAATCACCTGCTTGATGTCTGTCTCCTGTAAAAGATTATAAGCTCTGACCAAGCAGGGAATGTGTGTTGAGTCCCATTATTATAATTTTACTGCTATTTTACTATCTACACTAAATATACACCATTTGCTAGCTGTATCTACATAATGTCTGCTATGTTCCTAGCACTGTTCATAAAATTGCTTCAAGGATTAAATAATTAGATGTAAAGTACTGAAAATAGCACCTGACTTTAAACACTCATCAATAATATTAGCTTTAGTTATACTGAATGAACTTCAACATAAATTTTGAATAGATGGAAGGGAATTTTGGTCTTTAGTTTCTTCTCTAAAGTTGTCCAGTTTTACTCAGCGAACACTGTGTCAGATAACTATGAGCACACCAATCATCAGAATCTTGGCAGCATTCACATTCAGAGGCTGCTGGCTGTTTTCCTCATTCAGATTAAAGACTAAAGGCTCCCCTGCTTTTAGATCTATCCAATCAAGAAAATTCTGTCTTAGTTCAATTTTTAAAATCTAAAGCAAGCACAGAAGAAAAAGGCAGAATTAAAAGAAAATAAAAATTAGAGGAAAGGAAGAAAAATTGTTTTGTTGCAATATGTAAAGTCAAGAAGAAAAAACGGAATGACAAACATTTTTTAAAGCAGATATATCTTTTTAAAGAAAGTGCAGTTTATATAAAAACCTAAACACTTATAAAATAATTTCAAAGGTAATACTGTAAAATATGCACAGGAATTAGATAAAATTTAAAACAACAAATACAATTAAATGCTTACTTGAAAGGGGAATTGACGATATTTCAAATATTCTGCAAGTATATCTAACATCCGCACCATTTGCGAAAAAATAAGAACTCGATTGCCTCGTTCTCTTAGGCGAATTAAGAGCTTGTCAAGAAGAATCAATTTTCCGCTACTACGAATTAAGTGCTACAGAAACAATAAATTCAAGTCGTTATATGTTAAAAGACGTAAATAAGTTGTCCACATAACACTTTAGTTGCTTGAATTCTTTTAAATTGAGATTTTTAATTTTCATGTTAGAAAACAACTTGTTTCACTTTTCAAAATTTTCTAAGACCTTTACCATTTCACTATGACTTAAGCTAAAATATTCCTTCCCATATCACACCTAGGTTTTTGTTGTATTGTCAGGGAGGAAAAAAGTACTGTTTACTCTGTTTGCTAGTTACTACACCACAGTGTTTCTCCAAAAGTCTTAGCTGAAGAACAATTACACTGGAAGCAGCAGCAACTAAGCAACCAAAGGTTTAAAAGGAGTAAGCAAATGCATTCTAATGTATTAATTCTAGATGCTGATCCCAGCCCTTCAAGGCACTACAGGGGCTGGACTGCAGTTGTGCCTTCACACTTCTA